CCTGCACGTCCACTCACCTCCACCCACAGCACTGAAGGACCCGCACGTCCACTCACCTCCACCCACAGCACTGAAGGACCTGCAGGGACCAGAGCAGGAGCCTGGAGACGGGCAGAGACTGCGGTCAGGGCCACCTGGGGCCAGGAGCTGAGAGGCAGGAGGATCCCCGGGGCCTGTGACCCCCAGGAAGGAGAGGACGCACCCCGGCACACAGCGGGACACCTCCCCTCCCGGTGGTCTCCACAGACGCGGGTGGGAGCCGCGGGTCTCACGGCCTCTGGGTCGGCCTGTGGCCTGGCGTCACCGAGAGCTCACGCACAGGCCCTGCCCTGAGCCGCGGCTCAGCAGTGGGCGGCCGAGCGCCGGTGCCCACCTGCCGTGTCACACAGGCCCAGGGGCCACACGGGCCTCCCCAGCCCCTCACAAGTGCTACTGCCCACACAAAAGGCCCCGAGTGTCCTCGCAGGAGAGGGGGCAGTGCTGGACCAGGGTAATGTCAAGGAAGACCACGAGGCACGAGGGTCAGCGAGGGCGCGGGACAGTGCGGAGGGCCTGGCGGGGCTCAGGGCCAGCGAGCAGGAAGAAGGGCCTCCTCGTCCACCGGTGGCAGACGCCCGGCCGCAGCGCAGATGGGGTGGCTCTGCCTGGGCACTGGGAGTCCAGGGACACGGGGACCAGGGCCGAGCCGGCCGCCCAGCAGACGCCAACAGGTGGGCGGGAGAGCCAGAGACCAAAACAGCCTGCGGACGGACGGACAGATGCGGGGATTTACCGGCTCAGTCTCCTGGACGCAAATAGACCAGCCGCACAGCTGCAGGGCATTCCTGTGACACAGGACACGCGGACAGCTGGGGAGGGGCCACTTCCCGGCCCCAGGCGGGTCTCGGCGGGTTCCAGAGGGTGTGCAGACACTTCCCTGACCACAGTGACCGTGGCCACACTGCGCATGGGGCCGACACCCCGCAGGGCATCTGGGTGTGCGTGCAGAGGGCCTGGCTGGGTCCTGCTCCCGCCACCTCAGGACCTCCAGGGAGAGCCGCGGCCGCTCGCCCCACTGCCCGCCTGCCCCGCACTGCGCAGAGCCAGGGCCGGGCTGGGGCGGTGCAGCACCCACACAGGCCCCCAGTCCCCGGGCAGGGCAGCAGGGCTCCTGAGGACAGCGTCTGCAGAGCCTGCAGGCCACTCCTGTGCTGGACGCTGCAGCCTGCAGACCCACCTGGTGGCCGCACCACCTGGCCCACGGAGGGGGGCGTGGGCGGTCATCAGGACAGGGTCAGCACGGTGCGGACAGAGCTGGAGGGCGGGCGGGCGGAGGCCCGGAATTCACAGCTGGTGCTGACAGCCATGGGCGCGCCCAGGGCCAGCCCCCCCAGGCCAACAGGCGCCCAGGACCCAGCCGGACTGTCACAGTGGCGGGAACCCAGCAATGGCGGGCAGTGGGCGAGCTCTGGCCCCTCCGCTCCTCCAGGAGAGGACAGCACAGGGTCAGCTGTGAACAGGACAGGACTGAGGGTGCGGGCAGCCAAGCAGAGCAGGGCTGTGGCCTCCCAGCTACGGGGGCAGCGCAGGACCCCAGAGCAGCAGCACGCAGCCACCAAGGCGGCATCTCTGGACCCCGAAACGGCACGTGGCCACGGCCAGAGTGTCTGGGCCTGCTGAGCACCTGCCCATGGGCCACGTCCAGGCAGACAGGCTGGGCCCACGCCAGAACCCGACCTCAGGTGCTGGCAGCGAGGAGGCCAGACACCTCCCCGGCACCGTGCGAGGGCCTGGCACCCTGCCGTCTCCCACCACCGCAGTAGACGGCACCCACTCCCACCCGGGTCTCAGGCCCACGCCCACGAGCCGCCTGCCACAGCCGTCCAGCTTCCAAACGTGACCTCTAAACTGCCATCCCCCACGGTCCCCACAGGCTCCGCCTGGAGCTGGGGACCCCTGCGGCAAACATCCCCACGCAGCCACGGACCCTGGCCAAGGACACAACCAGAGCCACCACACCTCCAGGCATCGCGGGCAGAGCGGCCGCTTACCTGCCCAACGCGGGCCGCCTGCCCTGGACACTTCCCCAGGCCCCAGCTGGTCAGCCCCCAGCACCAGCAGGGCGGGAAGGAGACTGGCCTCCAAAGTGACTCAGGACCCCACCCCGAGAGGAGCCCAGGCTGACGGGGAACTGCCGAGTGTGCAGGTGAAGAACTGAGCGTGCAAGAACTGATGTGCAGACAGAATTCCTGAGTGTGCAAGAACTGAGCGTGCAAGGAGAACCAAGCGTTCAAGAAGAGAGAATTCCCAAGTGTGCAAGGAGAAACGAGTGTGCAAGAACTCCTGAGTGTGCAGGCAGGGAGAACTGAGTCTGCAAGGAAAAGTACAGGGTGAAGACCCAAGTGTGCAAGAACCAAGCGTGTAAGAAGAACTCCTGAGCAAGCAGGGAGAACTCCTGAGTGTGCAGGCAGAATTCGTTAGTGTGTAAGAACTGAGAGTATAAGGAGGATGCCTGAGTGTGCAGGGGGAACTCCAGCATGTGCAAGAACACTTGAGTGTGCAAGGACAACTCCTGAGTGTGCAAGGAGAACTCCTGAGTGTGCAGGCAGAATTCCTTAGTGTGTAAGAACTGAGAGTATACGGAGGATGCCTGAGTGTGCAGGGGGAACTCCAGCATGTGCAAGAACACTTGAGTGTGCAAGGACAACGCCTGAGTGTGCAAGGAGAACTCCTGAGTGTGCAGGCAGAATTCCTTAGTGTGTAAGAACTGAGAGTATACGGAGGATGCCTGAGTGTGCAGGAGAACTCCAGCATGTGCAAGAACACTTGAGTGTGCAAGGAGAACTCCTGAGTGTGCAGGCAGGGAGAACTGAGTGTGCAAGGAGAACGGCAAGGCGCAGT